TTATAAAGCTTGAAAGGTGTGGCTTATTTGTTGCAATTGAAATAAAAAGATTCAATCGGCGCGAACAGTACATAAAAGACAATGTAAATGATTTAAGAACTGCATATGTGCTTCCATCTAGTCTCTACAGGCTAATCTCCACCAGAATAAGTACAGAGAAAAATAATTGAGAAAAAGACAACAGCGAGTTTACATAGAAAAAACTTCTATTATTGCTAGAGAGCAGCACATATGCAGCTCGTTAAAACTGTTTGAGCCCAATACATGAACGCCAATCAAATCGAGAAAAAATACATTTTTAGTACGGTACAAGTCTGAAATTAGCAATTCTGTCTCCAGCAGCGACAGTACACATACACAAACTAGAGAAAATTACCACATAAAATGTAACCCAGGCCAGAAATTACGTTGTCGCGCTCACGACTTTGAAATCGTTTCAATGGTTTATTCTTGAAAAGTTTCATTTGCAACTTTTACCATATATCCATTTGAATGGTATCAAGTTTTGCGACCACAAGTATAATTTGACATAAGATTTTATACATAATGCATTTAACCAATGTAACGCGATAATCAAAGGCAAGAGAAGCAAACGGTCACTTTCATTGTCATTCAAATGAAATTCTTTTTATATTTTCTTTGGGTACACTTTCATGTCAAATTGAACTTGAGCAAATGCGAAACGTTTTAATAGTGAATAAGACAATAACCGAACTGAAAATATATATTTATTTTGCTGTCGAAGTGGCAAAATATATTCGAAGAAAATACAATTTTATCAGGAAATGCCGTATTTTCGGTTATTTTTGGGTTTGCCAATTGGATGATTGGAAGTGCATTTGATAACATTCACCAACCAACCACAACATCTCTGTCGTTCAACTCCTTTCACATTTAGTTCACACATCTTTTGTTTTGTGCGATTTGGTTCGTCAGTAGTTTCTAACATCCATTAGGATACATGAAACACGTGAATGGTCCGAAATAAAGAGCAATGAAATTGTTTGGCACATTGAAATAAATTGATATTTGGTATGCATGACGATATACTTCGTTATTTATTTATCAAAAACCATTTCGGATTTTATTGTTGTGTAGATTTGTTTTGTTTTTCCGTTTTTCCGACTCTTTATTTTTCTCCCGTTTTCGGATAAAAACGATACGATTTTAACGGGCATTGTGGCTGCATATTATGACTGTTGATATTCGTTCTTTTCGCTTTTGGCTTTTGTGTCCACGTACACGGTTGAGCTGTATGGCTCCAAACGAAGCTAAGATGCTGTTTTCCACTTTTGTCCATTTAATTTATCGTGTGCGAAGAAAATGTAAGAACTTTTCCAACCCATTGTTGTTACTTTTGACAACATGCTCAAAGCGTGCATACCTTTTATGTGCTATTCATGTTGTTGTTACGTTTCTTTTCCTCTTCCATTCTTCGGGTCATTGTTTTTTTTTTTCTTCTTAACAACACTCCGTTTTCTCCGACCGTTTTCTCTGAGCGATCAAATCAAAGAATCTTAATAGCATAAAAGGGAAGTGGTGTGATTCTTGTCTTACATTCCGGTAAAACGTTACCGTGCCAAGAGCTTCTTCATTTTGTCCATAACATTTTATTATGTAATTGCGAATAAAGGCAAAGAAAAAACAAGCCAATTTCACTGTTGAAATATGCATTGAATGCGTGTGTACTTTTACAACCAAAAACGAATGGAATTGGAATCCATGAAAAAAAGAAAGAAAAATCGCAATGCCATTTTTCTCAACTCCATTTCCTGTCAGTGATGGAACAAGAACGGATTTTGGTCACTATTTTTGCAATCAATTTTGAATTTCGGAATTAGAGAGAAAAAGGAAAACATGAAATAGAAATCAAATGACAAAGAAAAAACAAGCCACAACAACATGTAGTTGTAGTTCATGTCTTTTTACTTCCATAGATTTGTCATTTAATGCATTTTCACGTTCAAACTGCTCATTCGCCCCCGGTGCATCGCGCTGAATTGGACGGAAGATGTGACTGTGCTTTCATTTTGCATTGTCTAAAGATAAAGTAATAAAGCTACATTAACAGTAAAAGTGGAGAGAGAGAGAGAGAGAGAGAGAGAGAACAAAGAATAACAATAAGCAATAACAAGCACGAGTACCAAATTCAATTCAATTATGTAAAAGCACGGTATGGCTAAAGAGAAACTCTGGCCATGTACATTAGATCGTTGCAAAAGCTATTTGCATTAAAAATGCACAATAACGCCGAATTACAATTGCTTATGATCGTGTTAATGTAATTTTCGTCTTCTCGACCGACAACCGAAAGTCAGATAGAAATATTGAATGTATGGTAAATAACATTAGTTTTCACGTATTTTGTGCACATTTTGAGCTTTAATACCAACCTCACATATTGAATTTGCTTTTATTTTTGCTGTTTGGCTGTTGTTCTTGTTGCTAATATGCCATTCGAAACTGAGGCTTTTTACGTAATGAAGCTCTTAAAATGCTTTGCTTACATTCTCTGGCCTAAGTGAACAAGAATTTGGATTGATGTGTTCCATCAATTGAATTCCTCTGGATATTAGAACGGTATTATTGAGAGAGAGAGGGAGAGAGAGAGAGAGTACGTTACCACTGTTTCATTGCGGACATTTGAGGAAAAACGGTGCAAACAATCTTTTGTGGCCATTTGAATTTCTCACGATAATTGTCCGTATTCTCAGCGGCAATAAAGAACAGAAAAAAAAACATCGCATTGCACTATAACGAAATATGAGCGCACAACAATCGTATTGACCAATTGCGAATTGAATGCGACCTCTTCTCAAATGTGCAATCTGGAAAAATATTCAATTTGGACGATTGTGATTTGGAATGGGCAGCGTTTGCTCACTCTACACTATGGTGGATCAGCGAGAAGGAGGGGAGGATAGATAGCAAAATAATCGGATATTCTCCATTTGGTCGTACTTTACTGCTACGTGATGCTAAAAATGATTTGAAATCATTAACAGAATTGCCAACTTATACAACAATGGAGTGCTATAAATTGCAATATTTTTATCATTCGATGTGGATCGCATTTTACATTACCATTTTTTGCTCTCTCTCTCTCTCTCTCTCTCTCTCTCTCTCTCTCTCTCTCTCTCTTTCGTTATTTTGACACAGATCCAATATATGCGCATCAGTGTAAAAATAAATTGAAATCGCTTTCTTTTATTGCATATTTAACGACCATGAGCCATGCTGAGACCGTATTTTTAATGTATGCTGAATCCGTCCGAAATATTGAATTAGAATTTTAAATCGCACAAAACTGAATCACATAGAAAATCCATTCGTTGATTGAATTATTATCAACAGAAATGAATTAATCAAAACTTAATCGAAACTTATAAGTAACTCAATTATGAAGTCATAAATTATGCAGAACATCATGTGAAATGATTACCTTCCAATGTATAAGAGTGAATAAAAGTAATGACAACAATCAACAAACCAATTTGTTTGAACAGACAAATGTTTGCGAAGAAAAAAAACCCACTTGGACTGACAGACAAACTAAAAAAAATGATCTCCGAAGATAAATTGTACAACCATTATTTAATATAAATGCAATATGAGCTGAAATGGGGAAGAAAAGGTTTGCTGTATTCTATTGTCATTTAAATGGCAAATAAAAGTGGGGAAAAAATCAAAATAAATAGCTTAAAATGACAATCACCAGTCTTAACGTGCAAGATAAATGCGAGTGTTTACCTTACGCAAAGCGCAATATACTGATATTAAATATTGGTTCAAACGCCACACTGAACAACATCGAAGACACCTTTTGCATTAAAATCAAGAATAACGATTCCGCAGCCCCAAAAATACAATATTGTAAATGTAGTGCATTTTTACTGTGCTCGAACCAATCGCAACTCAATGTTTAGTTCCATTGCCAATCAGTACAAGTTACTCATACATTGACTGTATAAAGCACAAATACATTTTCAAACGAGCGAAAAAAACCCTTCAATACAATATAAAAACAACTTATTGCACTAACTAATTTACCTCAACTTCAACAATTTAATTTTCATGCTGGTTTTTTTTCTACCTCTCTTTCTTTCCATTCAACACAAAGATGAAACGATTACGGTGTGAAAAAAAAGAAATCCAGCCACCAAAGAACAAGAACAACGAGGAAAAATTGCAATTGAGAATTGTCTGCGCATAACATATTCGTTGAATACTACATAATCGATTGTAGTCCATTGAACAGAGGAAAAAAAATACACACTCCCAACAGCACACCGAAATGAAAGATTTTCAATGTAACTGAAATTTAGATTGCGCGCATTGATTACACCGACCGACCGACATACACACAGTATTGGTCGCTGATGCTATTCCATGCAATGTTCTTATTAGCATGCCACACATTGTGTGTTCACAGCAAGCATTTAGGGGGCGGAGTTCTCGTGCACTCTTCAACATGGAGCGTATGCCGTGCATGCGAGTTGGCTTTGTGTGTATTGGTTTGTACGTAATACATTTGCAGAGCGCTACGCTGTAGCTCATATTCAGCCTGCATCCTCTCAACAATACGCGAAACGGTTGGTTTAACGTTTTGTAGGCTGACAAACTAGCTGAAGAATAAACCAATACAAAATATACACAGATACCAAACATTGCTCCTACACGATTCGATCGCTTCAAATGCGCGACCGTCTGTGTGTTGTGTGTATAATACAATACCAGATAGACAAGCCCAACTCTTCTCGACCGTGCTAGTGTGCAATAGTTTTTGTTTTGTTTTCTTTTTCTTCACACAGTAAAAACAAACGGAAAAAAGAACTCATGCGAATCGATCCAAATATACGGTGTGGATTCAGTACTTGTTTGATAGTCGATGAAGAAGTGTGTTTGATGCGCGCACTGTCTGCTTTGATTTTCTTTATTCGATCGCAAATCGAAAAATGTCAATCAATTTTGAGCAAATAAAAATTTGAGTGTCTTTTCAATATCAGTTGTGTACTTGAAATTTTGTGCAAACGACTTTTTTCGGTCTTTCATTTTTTTTTTTGCTTATTTTGTGGGATATTATTTATCTCATACCGAGTTTCCATATCCGAATTATTTACATTTTAAAGTGAAATGAGCAATATGTTTCATTTATTAAAAATATCCATGTAAAAAAAAGAAACATTTAAATTTGAATATTGAATGCAACACATTAGAACGAACGCGGCAACAAATAAAGAAAAAAAAAGAAGACGATAATGATGATAAACTTAAACAACTGTATAATATTTTTAAAGTGATTGACTTAAGGAGTTAAATAGCTGTCGTGTAATTTGAGTGCTTCACATCACACATTGTGATTCTCATAAAAACGAAACAGTCGAATTTTGAACGATTTAAACCAGAAACTGATTTAGTAGAAGAAATCAAAACAAATAAAAAAAATTGTACAAAAAAAAGAACGAAAGGCAAACAGTTTAAAGCTACTTTGGCCGAATCATTGCTTATCAATTGGTCGGATCGGTTCTGTTAAAAGCTGACGTTAAATGGGCTCGTGTGTATTCGTTTGGTAGTGTATATGATGAAATGAGCAACACGGCTAGAATAGCCGATAGACTTTTCTAAAACGGTTTTTTATTAAAGTGATTTCTTTTTTCCCCTCTCTTTGATTATACACGTCACATCACCACTGTTTGTTGTTTGCTGTTAGAGTCACAGATAGTGCATGTTTCGTTTAGTTTTTTTTTTCGATTCTACATCCAATAAAATACCTGTCCGATACGGGCACTTGGACATCAGACTGCTTGTTGATTTGTGTCATTGGAATGTGTGTTCCAACACACATTACTTCATATTGAAATAACAAATAAATTACAAATTGACAAATAACAAAGTGATGATTCATCGGGTCACAACAGCGTCAACATTAATCGTATCCTCAAATCAATGGTTAACACATAAACATTTAATTGTGGTGCAGTGATTACTTCGGACGAAGCAAAAAAAAAAAAAAAAAAAAAACACAGACACAAAACAAGAAAGAGACAAACACATATCAATAACAGTTGATGTGATGAATTTTTAAGCCCAAACACGAAAGACAACAAAAACTACCGCCCGTGTGCAATCAAAAACTGACATTAAACATCATTGAGTGCTTGTGATACAATTTTGCATTATCCTGTTGAATATAACGTAATAAAAGTACAGAATAAAAATAAAATTGTTGTGTTTTGCGCGCTGTTGATATAGATTTATACAAATTCCAAATGAAAATGTCGACACATGAAGATGATGATCAGGATCAAGATCAGGAGATCAATGTTGATTCCGATTCACGGTTGTCATGCGGCAGTGGATCGGATATCGATATGGATGGCACTGGCAGTTGTTATGATTCGGAAACGGCATTAGGGTAAATAGTTTCTGCATTTATACAATTTGTCTATAAGTTTGATAAGAACGTTCGTGGTAAACACACCGAGGAAGAGAGAGGAAAATAGAAGAAGAAGGTGGATAACAACAGTTATTCAATTCATTTAATTAAATTTCTATTATTTATTATCGTTTAAATAATTCGCACTATGCAAAATGTACACATTCATTTGCGCCATCAGAAAATTGTTAAATTCCGCACAAAGCGCAAGAGTTGATTTGGTAATGTGTTTGTGATTAAGTGAGTGTGCGCACGCGGTTCTGTTTGATGAAGTCGATTTGCCAATTAAAACTTTTTTTTTTTCATTAGATAAACAAATAAAAACTAATGTATCAAACGGGTTTGGCCGATCGCCAGATTCGCACACACATAAAAACCAGTTTAGCAGTTTTAGTGAGCTTTTGTATTTAAACAATTTATAACTTTATCAGTATTATTGTAAATTATAATGTAAATAATGATTGAGTTAAAAGGAAAAAAAGGCATTTGCATTTGACTGAAATGAAAATATATTTATAAAAAAAAACCGAACATTGATTTTGTAGTGAGCAAAACAAGTCTTCGCAGCCGTGTGGTTTTGATCGGCTCAAGTTTGTGTGTTTTCAAATCGATAATTATAATTGCAGTTCGCTTTCATTTGACTCTTAATGGCTAAGCGCGTTGAAAGCTTTAACATTGCATTTATATGCTTCATTTGTTAATTGATATTTTTCACTTGAATCGACACTTTTCTTGGCTATATAATCTTGGCTGTGCGCCACTATTTTATTTCAGACGACAAACCAAAATCCATTCTTATGGCAAAAATGTCACGGAAGTGTGAACGGATTAAATAAGAAGCTAAAATTACAATTGACCATAGCATAGCGAATGAGCAAAACTTAATTTTAATGTGTCTTATAATTTAAAAATCTTGTCATAATAGCGAATAGATGCAATCAAATTTAATTGAAGGAATCGAATCATTGTATTTAAAATAGAAGTTAGACTTACTATGTTAGAACTTGTATAATAATAAAATGTATTTGTATTTAATTTGTAATGGTTTTTAGCTAATAATAATCGGATGAATATAAAAAAAATCACATTTCACTAATTCACTTTGTGTTTTTATTTAATCATAATATGCGCAGCGATTCAATTCAATCGGAACAGACGAGATCATCAAGCGAGAATTTGCCATTCAGTATATCACGTTTATTGTCAAAACCATATGAAAATAACAACAAGAGTCCAACATCCGATAAAGATGCGAATGCCATTTTGTTGGATGCTGAACATGCAAAATTTACGTCACATTTAGCAAATGCCGGTATACCTTATTCAACCGCCAGTGCATTATATTCGTCGTATAGCCCATTTTATAGTCCTGGTCAAGTATTACGTGTGCCACCGCAGCGAACACCATTAACGTGGGCACTCCCGCCACTACATCCTGCTGCATTAGCCCATCAAGCTGTCAAAGATAGATTAGCAGGTGAGTCGAATTAAAGAGCAAAAAAAACCAATCTGCATTGCCTTTTGCTTGAGCATGCCAATAGAAATCAAACTGTCATCAACAACAGCTTCAACAAAAACTACAGTCACACTGAGCATAGTTTTAGTATGTGCATTGAAATTGATGTGGACGGCAAAGAAAATAAGAACCTTAATTCATTTTATAGTCAATTAAATGAAGAAAAAAAAAATTATGGAAACAAGAGAAATCGAAATAAAAATTTGTTGATCAGTAAATACAGCTCGATAATCAGAGCCTGTTTCTAGTAGTTGCATGTGAATTTAACACACGCTTATATCAGTTGCATTTGTTGTTATTTGTTCGTTTTTTATATATCGTCCACGATGCCATATGACCGAATGCATTGCTGCCATATCACCTCATTCTAGTCATCATGTGTTCGTTGTCATTGTTTAAATTAGATTTTTATGACTAAAATTGGCCATATAAAATCGACATTAAAAGTTATTGTCTCGCGTAAACATGCAATTCATTCGCGAATGCACACCCCAGTGAAATTGTGCCACGTAGACATGGCTTTTTTAGGAAGTCATTAATGCACAACAGATAAAGAGGTCTATGCCAACATCGTTGCCTTTTGTCGATGTTCTTGTTATTGTTTTTTTTTTCGTGTATTTTATCGCCAATTTTGGAAGCCACCTGATTCGCATGCGAATAATGACGGGGCGCAAAGGAAACTACGTACTAAAAAAAGCCAATGTTCAAGCAAGTCTCAGGCCCCCGGGCCAATCGCGGAATTACTAAATATGATTAAGCTCCGGATGACCATATTAATAACTACAATCATAAAGCCATGCATCCACACCATACCATGTATACATGTATCAGTCATTTCGTTTGTGTCAAATTAAAAACCAAAGTATAATACTAGCCACTGATGATAAAGTGCACGGAAACAACACAAACATGGAATAATCTTCATTGCTCAATTGGCTACCGGTTTTAACGCCAAGCGAAAAAAGACATACGATTGAAAATTATCGGCGAAACGGAGCAACAACAAAAAATGCGGTCATGTAGATTTTTATAACCTTTTATTGCACTCGGTGCATGCATTTTTTTTTATCGATGATGCCGCACCTTTTTCGGCATGGTCAGTGCACGGATTGAAACAAAAACATACATACACGAAATAAAAGAAATAAATCGACCGTTTCAAGGCACCTCGTACGATGTGTGAATATGAGCGACTGATTTAATTCTCAACCTTTTGTCCTTTTCTGCGCTTTGATTCATTTCAGCACATTTTCTTTTTTACCTGGCGCTTAATCAAATAGCTACATCCTTCTTTTCAGTCGGCAATTTCAATGATGCCGTTCGTGTTCCCGTTTTTTTTTCATTCGATCTCTTTCTCTCTTTTTATTTGGTGTTATTTTCAACCTTTTGCCAACACTTTTTTTTTGTCGCAAAAAGGCGCTTGCATGTGGATGCTGGAGCACCAAGTGAAAAATAAACATTTCGGCAATAGTCCCCAAAATGAATAGCAGATAAAAAATGTACGCCTCGAAATGACCGAATCAAAAAAAAAAAAACCATGTTCAAATACATATAATTATTATTCGGTGGTGATGAAAACGGATGCACAATCAAGCAACGAACATAAAAATTTACTACACACGAAGGTAAGCACAGATGAATGAAGGTCTATTCGATAAAAAAAACGATCCATTCTATCACTGAAAAAAGTATTCTTTTCATTCATCTGCGGCTATTGATTCATTCGGTCTTCTTTCGAACATTTCGTTTGATGCGTCACATTCGGAACATCTTTTGATTTACATTCTTATGGATTTGTTTAAACACCGGCGCTTCGTTTCGAAATCTCGTCTCTTTTTGATTATATGACGATTCGATTGATTTTATAGTATACTTAACTACAGCGATGAGGCATTTTTGTCTGACACATCTTAATCATCAACTCGGAATTTGTCAGAACAATTTATAATATTTTAATCATCATAATCCCCGAACAGTGAAATTGTAAACAACTTTTTTTTGGTGATCACAGTGATTACGATTTCTTTTTGCTGTTTATTTTTCGTTCAATACTTAAAATGTAATCAAAGAGCCATAATCAATTACGACATTTTTGAATATCTCGTATATCAGTTATGATATTTCATCTTAAATCACAATCCATTAAAAACAAGAACATTTGCGACGACATTAACAACACATTCGTATCGTAACATTCATAATATGTAGTAATGCTAGAAAAAAAATCAAAGTTGAAACGTGTAATATTAAAAAATAAGCAATCGATTTACCTTTGGGTCGAATTTTTTCCAACATTTTTCCAATTCAAATGCATAATCGCATGCATCAAATTTTGGATCTTTGGAATATTCCAAACTCTCACATTTGTCAATCATACTGACGAGAATATCATTTTCGTCATCCGTTAGAAGATCAGAAACTCTGTCCACCTGCTCCGAAAAGTCAAAATGCTCAACTTCGTGCAGAAAACAATACCTGATCGAAGAAATTTTCTTAAATTCTTGAACTCTTCAAACATTGAAACTTGAGTAATGAACAAAAAAAAACATAAGTTACATATAGCATTTAAGTCGATTATCTACGTCTTCAATTTGACTAATGTCGGCTTGTACAAAGTCTTGAATCACTTCTAAAAAGATATCGAATCAAAAATAATGAAGAAATACAATAAACAATTTCCACTTACCTTCGGGAACATGAGTCATTCTAACACATAGATCGTGCATGGGTTTTGTTAAATCGACCATTTTTTGTGGTGGTTTCTGGAATGCAGACACATTTTTAGTGAAATGTTTGAAAAATAAGAAAATTTTGTATTTTTTTTACCGAATCCGAGTTTCGAATCCCAAATGCATCGATTAAATCGTCGAAACATATTGATAAAATTACTGCAAAACGAATTAAAAACATACTGACAATGTGATGATACTCGGTCGATTCAATGAATCTGTCTATCCAAATCGAATAAAATCAATGTAACGATTGTTTCCACCAACAGCTTCATTGATATTGAATGCGAAAAATTTCCCTGTGCACATCATAAGCTGTCAATCATGCTGCTGCAATTTAATTGCAATTGTGCAATATTGTTTCCTCGATGAGGTCGAACAAAAAATAATATGCGATATTAATTGCATAGCTTCGAAAGTAACATGTCGATGAAAAGCTTAATATGACACACACAAATCATTTCCGTAAGACATTATAAATAAATCGACAGTCATTGTAATCAAATCAAGTGCAACCAAAAATAACCACTTCCAATCGTATCCGACAATTCATAAGAAATTTCGGTGGAATTTCGATAATTTTTCCACAATTTTCGGGATAATTACCTTTATTACCCACTCGACGGTCGCAATTGTGTTCCTTTGTTAATGCAAATGTTATGTACCGTAAATTGAAGTCGTAAGACATAATGTATCTTTAATTTGTTCATATTTACGTCAAATTTTTGCAAATGTCATGGCAAATGTTAAGAATTCATTATATGTTGACACCATTCAGTTAACGTGGCTTGACGGTTGGTGGGCGGAATTTTATTGAAATAAGCAAAATAATTAGTTAAATGATTCACAGTACATTGATCTGAAGAGAGCAAATATGTTATTATTTTAAGCGGTAGAACTTCAATTTGTTTTATTTTTGTGCGCAAATATTGTTAAATTTTATCATGAGACTTAAAATTGATTTGAAGTAATCGAATTACTTCGATTATTATAAATTATCGGAACAAAAATATCACAAATAATCGTTTACTATGATCAAATGTTTGGAGGAGAAGCGATTGTCTTATTTTCTGCCCAAAAAAGTTTTAACAAAAATAAAATATGCGTCATACGCACCGAAAATAGTATGTAATCGGTTTTCTCCGCCCATAACAAATACATACAACATAAAATTATTGAGTTTCGAGAATCATTTTTAATTTGTTGCTCATTTTGGGTGACTCTATAGTGTGCGGTTGGTGTTATAATCATTGTCACGAAGAGGAAGTAATATTGATGGAGAGCATGTCATCAAGAAAGAAGATGAATGCTCATACACTCTCCAAAAACCTTTTATGAAAATGACGAATAAGAAGCAATAATCGCTCTTTCGAACAGATTAAGTTCTATTCGCATGCTGGTCACAATAGTTATACTACAATTCAATATTATCATATCGCCTACGGCACATAATTCAAGGTGAGAAAGATTCAATGCATACAACCATTATGATTATTATTGATTCCAATTTGATCTGATCCAGAGATCACTGGAAAATGTTTGTGTATAATAAGGCGGAGGAAAAAAAAACAATCTAAAAACGATAAACAGACATTATGGCTTTTCGACGTGTAAAACATGAAACAAAAACACATACAAGCGATAAAGATAACAAATGAAATAGAAAATCCCAGTTGATGCGGCCCTTGGAGCCGTTACTATTTGTTTTCTATATTTGGCAAAGGAATGAACCGAAAAAAAAGCCAAACATGTGGAGATGATGCCAAGAAAAATGGTTTCTGATGGAATCGATGTATCTCACACGTATACATGACTTTGTTGTTTCGATAACGCATTTATTCATGTTATCGTTCCTTCTAATTTTTTTCTCTCCACCGATTGAAAAATGGAATGGCAATAAAAATGAAACAGTCAAAGCAAAATGCAGAAAAAAGTAGCATGTACGATCTATTCTCGGCAAATGCAAAAACAAAAAATATTCGATTTGTATCGACCTGATGTTACAGGCTTTTTGCAGGGAAGATTTATTTTTTATTCATAACCATATTCATAATGTATCGAATAAAACGATGGATCGCGTCATGTGCACGCGTTCGCGTATAAATGTTTATGAAATACATGCTCATATGCAAAGCAACGCAAAACCTGTGAATGGATATGATTACGGTAATACGCATATATGTATATGGATATCGTTAACACAAGGAGCACTGATACCCACAAGAGGGTTGTGCCATATTACTAGCGTTTTTTTTTCACTCATGTCAGATCAAAATAACAACAGGAGAAACATAACATTCTGTTTGTTTTTTTTTCGTTTAAAAAAAAAAAATAATGCACACGATCCGAGCACATGTAAATACACACATCGATAAATGGCTGGTCTCGCCTTATGCATATCATGTTTGATGCTGCTGTTTGGATCCACTAAAATTTCATAGCTCAAAAAGAAAAGACACAAGCCATAAAAATCAATTTTCATAAGGACATAATGCAAAGTGGGAGAACCTATATACATGAACAAAAACGCAAACTTTATAACACACAGCTGAAGTGAAGCGATTACTTTTTGTTGGATTTTTCTTCTCCAAGAAAAAAAAAAAGTATATGCGAATCCTATTTAAAACCCAGTGAACTCGCTTAAAATAGCACCAGACATACACACGTAAAACGTACACATACAGAGAGATAAGATGGAAGAGGCCATTTCGTGGGGGTATATATTTTAACCATATCGTTATGTTATGATTTTTATGAATATCCATTTATAAATGATTTGTTTGGGTTTTTTTTTCACGGTGAAGCATCATTCAAGTTGAAACGTTTCAGTTTCGTTCGTTTTCAATATTTGAATGATTGCGGACGGCAAAAGAATTTATTTTCACCACAAGATTTGATTATATTTTTACCCGTGTGATGGAAACGATCAAATAAAACAAATCAAAATGCTTCTCCGTTTGAGTTGGTAAATTCAATGGCGAAAAATTAATATTTTATTTTGATGTTGTGTGTATTCCGTCGTACCGATGGTAATGCCGCCCACAATCAATTTGAAATTTATCGATTCAAGAAATGGGATGGCTTTTATCAAAATAAAATGCTTTAGATTGGAACATCAAAATATTATTGATTGCATTTCGAATAGCAAAACGTATTCAAAAGCGGCAACGATGATGATAATCGCCGATTATTTAAATGGCGGAGAGGATGTTAAGACGAATAATATTCAAGAACACCCTTTAGCCATTTTTTTCAGCGTTCACATTCCATCGTTTGGAATGTAAACTTGAACAATTTGAGATACGAAGCGGAAGGATACAAAATCATATTATAAAAACGCAAACACGAAATGAATTTGAATATGAATTATACACGTGGATATTGTTTTTACTCTCTTTTTTTTGTTCATCGTCATTGCATATTCCTTGAATTTCCTCGAGTCGATTAAAACATTTCATACGTTTTTGCCATGAAAATAATCACAGTAGTTGTTACGTGCTGTAATCAAAGTTAGTGGATGGCAATCGTAAAGAATAATTAGATGTTTGCCATGAGTGTGTATGTATTTGTTGAAAAGTGGTATTCGTTGCCCTATACAATTCCCCGAAAAGGATATCGTTAAATCAATCTATTTACGTGTTGCGAATTGAAATAGACCATCTGCACGCCAGTTCATATCAATCTCAACTCATAATTAAAATTAATGGTGAAATAATTGTTTAGAGTTAACATTAAACTGTGTACACAATTGGTCTCTATTTGTTTTTGTTTTGTTTTTCGTCATATTCTGCATTAAATAGTTTCTGCACAGATGAAAAACGATTAAAAACTATACATGAAAAGAGATAGCCCAACACAATAACAACAACGATGATGACCTACCGATAGATTATTTCGGTCGGCAAAATGAAGTCTTCATTCACAGTGGAATGCCATCAAAATTGTGTTTGACGGGCTTTCAGAGCCAATTGCCCATTCCAATATTTATATATTTATATGACAGACATGGATCAAGAGTTTTGTAACACACAACACAAAATTGTTGGTCTTTTTGTGCACTCTCTGTTCAACCTTCTGACAGTTTTATTATAACATAATTCCACAAACAGTTGTTAAAACTCATTATTTACCTTTATTCTATTGTGTGTGTCTGTGTGTGTACTTGTGTGTACGCCCGTTTTTATCCATCTCTTTTTTTTGCAATTACTCACGCGATTTCCTTCATTGGGGAAAACATATTTTGTAGTTTCATTTGATTTAAGCAAAGTTGACTGTGTAATTACCGGGTTTTGTTTCATATCTAAATGCTATAGCACATCGACAACGATGTCAAAAATAATTATCAAATGCCATAATTATGTCATTGACAAAAGGTTTATTTCATTTTTTATTATTTTTTTTGTTCGTCTTGTTTTTTGTTTTGTTTTTAAATTTTATCCGACGAATCGTCTTGGTTTTCTTTTATGCCGGTGCTTCTCTCATGTTGTCGCAGCATAGAAAAACAACACCACAAGCGGAAGAGAAATATTGCATGCCACTAAATATGTGTGTTCTCTTATTGGGCCGCAGAACGGAAAGTAGAGGCGGTTTTTCAGCCTATATTTCGTTGAAAACACAGGAGATGCATGAAATTGAATGAAAATAAATATTTTTTTTTCTCTGCTTGAGTTTTATGGCATAATTTATAGAAAATTGTTCGCACACTGTGAAAAGAATACACAATTTAAATGATGTTGCCGTTACTATTTGATTTTGTGTATTTTATAGTGTGAGCGGATGAAAGAAAGCGCTGAAAAATCATGCGTATGTCGTCGTTAAACAATTTGATTGGAAACATTTGATATGGTAGAAAAGTATACAGTATCAAAGTTGATGGTGTCACCTGCTTTAATTGTGCACGCATTTAAACACCAAGCATTATGACCACATTTTTCTATGCTTTGTTTATTTATACGACCGTAATTCGATTGAACGGAACATTTTTTATTTATTTACTGGTAGTTATGCTGGAGCATAATCAATATAAAATAGTTCCTCTTTTAATCAATTTTTTCTTAATTTCCACAGCTTTTCCAATAGCCAGACGGATAGGACATCCATATCAAAATCGAACTCCACCAAAGAGAAAAAAACCCAGAACTTCATTCACTCGAATTCAAGTTAGTATAAAGATGATTCTCGTAAATAATGTCGATTCCAACAAGTAAATAATATCGATCATCGTTTGTCGATTGAATTACAGGTTGCCGAATTAGAAAAGCGTTTTCATAAGCAAAAATATTTGGCGTCGGCTGAACGGGCCGCATTGGCTCGTGGCCTCAAAATGACTGATGCTCAAGTCAAAACTTGGTTTCAAAATCGTCGCACTAAATGGAGGTAAGCGAGAAAAAAATGTTTGATCTTAATTAGTACCTACCATTTTTAATGTATATATAAGTTAGTATAAAAGAATCGACGATAATTGAATGTAACGATACGTCGGTGATGACACTATGTAAGAACAGATTCAGATTGAAACGAGAGAAAAAAATGCACGAAAATATTTATATAAAAGAAGCCAAAGTGCCAACGGCTTTGAATGTAAAACGGCGCAAACTATTAACAATAACAACAGTCAAGCCCAACAGCAATAACACAACATTAATGATTTTGACGTGTAATTTTGAATTTGTCTCTGGTGAACGATTATTCAGAATTTTATGGTAATGCCCATGTTTTACCAGCCACACAACACACTCAAATTGGACTCATAGTCAATATATACATATGTTTACAATCAGTTTTCGCTCGTCGAACATACCAAATAATTTATCGAAAATTTGTTGTAAAGTTGGCCCAAAGGGAGACATAATTAGCGCAGTACCATCGTACCAAGCTCAATTTCAACACGAATTTTTCATGCATATTTTAAGAATTTTCGGGATCTTTGGGGATAACCAAAGTATAGCCCATTATTATTTGCATTTACATTGCCAAACAGCCACTTTGCTGGAATTTCGATGTCAAAAGGTGAGCACATTGACCGGCCAAGCGATTGAATGTTTTAATACGCACACCCATCGCTTACGTACACACAAATCAACACCGAATCGTATATGTCTGATATGGTGGTGACAAAATCAAATCACACACATCAGTTTTTTCATAATGGCCAGCTGGACATTTGTTTCGGTGGGATAAATTTTGCGTGGCTTTGTTTAGTAGCCATATGTACAATTTAGTTTTACTAACACCAAATGATTTATATCAATGGAGATAAATTTAATTGAATTATTCGGAAAACACATTGCGTTCCACTTGCCTGATCCACACCATAAATGAAACTGTTTAATGCTACTTCTCTTTCTATGAGGAAATATAATTCACATAATATGCCAAACACTTTCACAAAGTTTTCCATTTACACAAATGCAAAAATGTACAATAATCATAATATAAAAAAAAAATTATATCAATCATAATTGTAAATCTATTTTACACTTGCTCAATCGACTGAGATCCATTCCACATTTTTGTTTTATATCATATTATGAAAAGGGCCAAATCGACATCGCAATAATAGTCGTCTCTGCACAATGTGGAACAAGTTAAATGCATTGTGCCATTGCAGACACACAGTGGTGGCTAGCTAGAATATGTGAAATGGAATTATGCAGAGCGGGAGAGAGAGAGAGAGAGAGAGAGAGAGAGAGAGAGAAAACGCGTGCATATATCGGGCTAATTTGATTGTTTATTATGATTGGATATGCGGTGGTTGTTTGTGTGACTGTGTGCATTAAATTGTGCAGCCTCATAAATTGCACATTAATGTGTGAATAAACATGTGAACCAATAAAGATTGTAAGCGGCATGTAAATGAACAATCTAAATAATAATAGCACGTTGAAATTGAATGGCTCCAGTGCTATTAGTGCGGCGAATCATACCACCAAACAGCATGAGAGCAGTGAGACACATTCTGGTTTATATTTTCATTTTGCCTTTTTTCTGCATCGTCTGTATTTTGCACAACATTTTTATTCGCAAACAACAAATTAGTTTTCATCATAAATATTGGTTGCTTTAAGATAACCACGAAAGCTTGTAATTATTTATTAAAAATGTTAAGCATACCGATATATATTGGACAAACGCAAAACTATGCGAGATGCCTTTATAAAAAAAATAGCAACACGTCCACGGTTAATCTCTTCGTATTTTGTTTAAATTCTTTCTCTCACTCTTGGTCGCTCTCTCGCTTTTGCTTGTAGTTTCGAACACAGAAAATGGCAATTCAATAGCAAACGTGCTGTTTCAAGTTATTTTGAGCTGTCATTGCATGGGGCGGAAATGAATGAGACGAAATTTTCTCTCTCATGGGCGCAGCCATATTGAAAATTTTGTATGCGCTTATATGTAAAATTGGTGGCGCCACTGGTATATTTGATGGAAAAAGAAGAACATGTTTGAGTCTCACTCGTTTATATGTAAATTACATAGGCATTTCCAGGCCATGTGTCATTGTATCGCCATTTCGTTTGGCCCTGTTTCTGTAGACACAAAACGGCTGTTATTATTTAGTGCATGCAAAGCCACACACTTCACTCCATCGTACAAGTGATGGACGCCAATTGAACTATGTGTAAGTGTATGTTTTAGCCAATGAGCAATAATAATGGGGCTATTACACACTTATGATTGCTATGCCAAGTTCCATTTTCCTGCATCAGTTCGATGTATATGTAAACTATCATTATCACAATATGCTTGCAATCCATTTGACCGAAGCTTAAAATAGGCTGGACATATAGATATTTGCCCTCCATTCACTGTTCCATTCGTGTAATGTGTTTGCAAAATTGACCGAAAACACAAAACAGAGAGAAAGAGAGAGAGAGAGAGAGAGAGAGAGAGAGAGAGAGAGAGAGAGAAACGCATATCAACAAATAATTGTACTTAAACTATCGACCATTTGTTAGAAATTATTTTGTTAAAATCATGACCGATTGCATGATTAAACCACATGTTATGGCAATGTTATGGAATGTGAAACCAAAATCAGAGAAGAAAAAAAAACCAATTATTTGCGTTTCATTCGAATTAAATATGAGTTTTGTTTTTGCATTAAGTGATTAAAATGATTGGATTTGTTTTTTTTTCTGTCTCGAGGTTATTAAAGTAACATTCGATTTTTCATTCAAACTTTTTTTCGAAATTAATTCCATCGAAATGTCTTTTTTCGAAATTAATTCCATGAAATCACACAAATACAGTCAATCATCTCCGTTAAAAACATTTGATTTATTGCCTTTTATCAATTATTAATAACTTAATTCATTTTGAATCGATCAATTCAGAACCGAATAAATTGTGTCACTGTCTCTTTTCTCGTGTCTTTTTACAACAAAAGATTCATCAGTTGGCCAATTCGAACAAAAAAAATAAGTTAAATGAACTCAGCTCGGTTGCTGTGATATGACGCGCATTTTGGGAAACCATTTTGAATATTACTTCGTACATTTTATACATATATTGCTTTGTATTCACATTGGCCACACACTGCCACAAAATATGCCGCACCGTATTTATGTAAAACACATAGCAACGACGAGCATATCAAGATATCCCCAATTTCAATGTTTGAACACGGTACAGTGTATTTTTTGTCATCATTACCATATCACTTTCCAAAATAAAATGTAATAACCAAAAAATAAAAACGAGTGGGTGGAAATACGGAACCATATACGCGATGGTGTAACAATAGCGTGAGCGCGCACTTGCATTAAATGTAGGAACGTTGACGATAAACAAAACATTTATTCACTTACACAAGCTCACTCATTCGGCTCGCAGAAAACGTTTAAACGTTCACATACACTGTGTGAATTAAATAATAATGGAAAAAGAAATCCGAAAAGATGTCGACTACTAAAAGAGGGTCTACGTTCGATACTCATATTGTTATAAATTTTTAATCGGCTCTTTTGTGAATGGAGCTTCCTAGCAACGGAATATTGCTGAATATCCATGCATATCCAATGCATGGCCTCAAACATGTCATTGTCAAACAAAAGCTGCAATCTCATTGAGTTTGGTTATTTTCGTATGAAAACACCAAATGAAATCATTATGATTCAATCTATATGGAAAAAGTGTGCAAAACTTTTAAACGATTTTAAAAACATAAACAATTTTCAAACGACTTTTATCACAATGCAAATAGAAGGAAATTTTGACAGTGGTGGAACAAAAACCGTTCATTTGATGTGACACAGAAAACTTCAATAACAGTGGCCACTTCATACGATTTACCGTATATTTGGTGGATGAACATTTTTATATTGATGTTTTTAATATAAAATCACACATCAGTCAGTTTTGTTGTCGATTTAAAATGCCAAACGAAATAGATGAATACCAAATGAATGCGAACGAATGGCAAACCAGCGCAAAAAGTCGAATACATTTTATGCAGCACGGATTCATTTGAAAGCATGAGGCACGTGCTTCGACTGATTTAAACACGCAATACTACGTATCAAAACATTTCTAAACGAGCTACCGCACTACCTGCATTGACTACGAAAACGAAAATCAACAACAAACCAAAAAAAGTATCCGAATGAACCACAGAAAAACCTCATCCGATGCACACGCACACACTAGTACACACAGAGGACAGAAAAAGGAAGAAAAAAAAAACAAATTGATGCGAGAAAAAAAACGAATTGAAAGAAGAAAGAGACAAACAAACGAAAACAGAGTGAATGAAAAAAAAACATTTATCAATTAGGCGAAAAACATAAAAACTCACCAGAAATCAAATAGTCTACCTACATGCAAAAATTCGACAATCAACGTAAAAAATGGGCCTGCAAACAAAAACTCGAATCAAACAAAATGATTAACAGCAGCAAAAAAAATCCTAAGAGAAAATAACGACAAAAAAGCAGCGCGAGCACACACCAACACATCACGTTAAAATAATCGGCTTCCGTAAGGAATTTTTGCGCAATTTTCCTCTCTCACTTCTTTTCTCTTGCTCTTGTTCGAGTTATAATTAACAGCAACGATTGTTAACTAATGGAAAAAATGTGTTCAAACATTACCAGTTCTTTTTTTTGCCTTTTCTTCTTCTTCTTTTTCGATTGAACACACTCGTCTAGCGCAGTGCGATTCACTTCATTCGATCGAAATTTGAAATTACGGATCCATTTCCAAGAGATAAATATACATTGAACGGCTTGAAATGAGACAGAAAACACTTCGATTGAAAGTTAACTGAATCCGATTAAACACTTAATAAAAACGGTTTTGACGACGTAAAGACGGTCAAATGCACACATGCTCTATCCTGTCCACAAATCAGTTTGGCCGCCGTTTTCGCTGCTGCCACCGAATTCGTTTTAATAACAAATGTTCACGCTTTAGAATTAAACGATGCAGAAGATGAAAGAAAGAGAGAACTAAAAAGAGTTGCGATTGAACGTCAATGTTTTACATAAAATTGCTACTTGAATAAGTAATTAAACGCTTCCTTCACTGGCCAGCGGCGGTCAACAAATGCTACTATATCGACAGCGAATCGCAATCAAGCATTAGAATACATGTATCATTGGACAGAGCATTAAATGTAAATGTATGTGCAATGCCATGTATTGAATTGGCATTACTTTTGCCTCGTTTTGTTTGGCATGATTTCTTTTTTCTCGCTTGCATTTTGAAATGCATAAATCTTCATGGTCACAACTGGAATACACACACACACACACACACACGCACACACACTCAACATCTCGTTGGCCCCGAAACATATGAAACTATTGCGTGGCGATTTTAAGTCTCTATCTCTCTTACTAGCTCCGCATAAATCGCTAAATTGTTGCATTTATTATTCCATTCCATAAATATGCAGCGTGTGTGGCAATTAAACATTTGCTCTTTTTGATTATACTTGCCACTAATGAAACCATATAACTTATATTGTATAAATGCCCACATTTTCGATAATAAATCTCTTTTTTTTGTGGTTTGTTTTATTTCGATAAAGCGAAATTTCAATTCTTAAAACCAACTTAAACGACGCTGATAAGCCAAAATCTTTACAAAACCATTCGATGAACGCTTGTCGAAATGGACGAGTATATACGATCATCGATAAACCGAACAATTGGCATCACCAGAATAAATTCAAAAGAAAATTGGTTACTGTGTTGTCGGAGATAATGAAATAATAAGATGAGAGAGAAAGAGCGCATCACACATTGACTGCATTAATAAATAATCAATACAAAAACTAAACACGTATCGCTGTCGCAAGGTGATTACACATATTGAGACTTCCATGCACTGTCGGAATTGTAACTTGATGACACACAGTCAAACAAGACACTCAATTGTTTGTTAAACACGACGATTTCGTCAATTTTCGTGTCAATTCTTTTTGCGTATCTATATTACCATCGCACCCACACATACACATCTGAAAAGTGACTTTTTCACTTGGCACCACTTGTCAATGTAAACATTGTTATACATTTATATATACATAAATTACCACAACTAATTTACAAAATGGCATATGTGAATCTATTAAATTAGGGAGCGAGAATGTGAGCGATTGAGCTAGAGTAGAAAAAATGGTATTTACGGCGCATTTTTTTTGCGTATGCGGTGATGCCGCTTTTGCAAAGGCATGAGTAGCAAAGACGATGTAATGAATATTGTTGATTTGATTAAATCTAACGAAATAACACACAATGTATTAAAGATTTCGTGGTAAACAATGTGTGTAAATAATTTATGGAATGTGCACATGCGATCATATAATTGTATAAAATACCCACAAAATCTTTTTTTTCGCTGAGAAAAGTAAAGGAAAATTTTTTCGGAAGCAAGAAATGGGGAAGGTATGACAAAAAATCGATGATAAAGAAAAATTACAATATTTAAAAAAAGGACTAGTGTTAAATGAATGAACCGTCAAAATGACTAAAATACATAAGAATATTCTACGGTGGCCTCTTACTTAAGACATGATGCCTATCGCTCTTTATGGTTAAATGTTGATGGTTCTAATTTAAATTAACTTAGTAAAATCATCCCCAAGGATTTATGCCACAAAATATTCGTCTTGTTTTCATGGTTCTTTGCACGTGCACCATTCACCGACGTAATTGCTTGTAACATCTTCACGGTCGATCATTTATTCATTTTGTGGACGTCTCTCTTTCTCTCTCTCTCTCTATCTCTCTCTATGTATATGCCGTTGTTTGCCAAGTTTTGGTCACCATCATGATGTACAGTGTTTTGATATCTCTTTGGCCTGCCCGTCTGTCCAATCCCTCGTAACACTTCATTATGTGGACAAACGAAAGAAACAGATGCTTGCACATAATGGTGACGGGTTTTTCTTTTCTATCTGCTCAAAGACGCGCACGCCGACAAGAAATTTTAAGCATTTTGTGTAAATGACGGTGTAAAACATCAAAATGTCTTCTTATTAACGTGAGTGCGTTAAACTGAATCCTTCCTTGGTTGCGTATGTACGTGTGTATTGGTGTATGCTATTCATGATGGATAAACGGCAAACAGACACACTTTTCTCTCTTTCTCTCGGTGCAAATCCTTTTCAAAATGTAAAACATTCAACACTTTGCACAGATAAGCATCAAATCCATTTTATGGCAAATGTTAGGCGAAGAGTTCGACGAAGCAAGCGAATGAGCAAGTGAGCGAGGTTTAAGACGTTGCCATTATCAATTAGCTTAAAGATATTTATTGTTATTTATTTTTGCCATTAATTTAATGAGAAAAGAGCTCGTTATTTATAAAGACATTACCGTCTCCTATGTGTGAGCTAGTTGTCAGAGCTGCTATGTTCGACGGTAAGAATATTGGTACATCTAATTATGTGTTTTACCATAGTATGGCTAAATCTAGATTGTGCAATGGAATTTTCGTTTTAATTATTAATTGTTGGTGTTATTTTTATTTTGCGTAGCATTGATGAAAATGGAATTCAAAGTGATTTCATCCGAAAATCAGGCAACAATGAATGAAAAGTGTATTAAACGCCACTCCTTCTTCTTCTTCTTTTCTCTCTGTCTCTCACTCTCTCTTTTCGATCTTGTTCAAATAATAATAATCATATCTACGTTGACTCAACATTTCAATCAATTAAATTCAATTTAAAACATATAATATTTTCGGTTTTAATTTGATTAAATTTCAATTTATGGTTGCATACTTTACGCGATGTGATGGCGCGAAAAGTAATTAATTTCAAATATGGTATCGATTTTTATGTGAATAAAATCAAATAATCCAGTATGTATGTATGATTATATGATCATTTACAATACGAATTTATTGAGTGTTGATGCTAATGAATATTCATAGCTACTTTCAGTCATTTTCACATATGAATACTTAATTTATATATGCGCATTTGGAAAGCACTCTCCAAAACACAAAATATCTTCGTTAAAATCAGCAAACATTTTCAACTTCGAACAACACACAACGAACAATGATCATATTATATTGAAACTAAACGAATAAAGTGTTTTCCTAATTGTATTTTGTGATATACCTAATCCGGATAACCATCAAAATAACATCATCATAACTTTATTATATTATCAGCGCCGGTGTTGTTCGAGCAGAAAATGCGGTGTGGGCAATGTGTGTGGTGTGCTTGTTAAAAGTTTTGCCTGCCATCGAGATATGATCATACTAAATACCTTTTCAACAGAAGCATCTTCTCACTTATTTTCGAAAATTGGTTGCGAAACAGAGCTTTGTCGGGTGTATAAAACCATCAGCATATTTTCTTCGTTGTAATAGTATCATTGTTATTTTGCTTGAAATATTAACAAGCGGAAGTGTGTGCGATACCATTTGGTTACATTGAAACGAATAGCATCTTCCAAAGTTTTTTTTTTATCCTATCTATAAATAGTAATAACACCATTGAAAAATGTTGATTGCTAATGTTGTCTTTTCCTTTAATTTTTTTCCTTAATTTTCGGTTTGTTCCATTTAATAGACGTCAAACGGCTGAAGAACGGGAAGCTGAACGTCAAGCGGCAAATCGTTTAATGTTATCATTGCAAGCGGAAGCATTGAGCAAAGGATTTGGACCACCTCCAACAACACAGTCGGCACAAACATCAACACCTCTTGCGCCTCCGTTGGCCGGACTACAATCGTTACAACCATGGGCCGAAGCACATCCCGCCGGCTGCTGAAGAAACACTGCATCATTTAATGCAACGATTATTCAAATTTGAATGGCTGAAACGGGAAATACATGAGTAAAATTAAAATATCAGAAGTGTACTCCTTTCAAACCGAAAGATAGAAAATTATAAAACCATTAATATTTTTCACATTTCTTGTGGACGACCGTTGAATTCAAAACAAAAAATTGCCGAGAAAAAAATGAAGGTGTGATAAAAATCAAACTAATTTATGCACAAATTAATCACAAAAAAAAATGAATGAATCCAAATAAATTAAGTTATGCAGAACAAATTAAAATGTGGCTGCGAAAACATTTTCAAAATATGACCCAGTATTTTTGTCGATTTTTTAAGCAAGTGAAGGTTTATAATAAATTAATATGGTGAATTTTTCACTCTCTCTCTCTCTCATAACATTGCTATGCAATGCCATAACCGTTCAACTCGAGTTCTTTGGACAAAAAAAACTGTTTCTATCGATTTTTTTTGGGTTTATCGACGGTTGAAAGTGTCATTTAGCAAAGAATGTGACGAGAAATGATGTTAAGCAAATCATAAAATTAAAGTAATGTACTATTTAGCGATTCATCGGTTTTAACGTCAATTTTAAAATCCATGTCTCATTTTATTTTTGTGGCAACCAAAAAAAAATATTTCAATAAAAGTTACTGCGACAATTTTGTAAATAATAATCACTGCAATGAATCACTATACTTTTTCACGGTATTAATAAAAACACGGGAATACCACCAAGGGATATTTCAGCTCAGATGAATCAATGGTATGGATTTGGACATCAGTACTAAAGTAGATCGTCATGGATTCATTCAAACTGATAGATTTATCTGGTGGTATTCTTTGATTTAAAAAAAAAACCACAAAAATTCTCAAATTTTATATAACATTAATGGAATAATAGTGTGAAGCTTTTGCAACGGAAACTGGCTTTTTTCTAAATTCACGAATGAAATGAATTTCTCTTTAAATGTAAGTCCGAAAGTGTGTGGAGAGATAAATACATAATTTCAAAGATAAAATCATTGTAATCATGGTACGAATGACGTTGTTTTTTGGTTAAGCGCCAAAATTTGATAATTGTTATCTCTAAATGTGCTTTGGCAAATGCTAAATTCTATTTTTCACGACTTTATTTGAAAGTCAACGAAATTTAATTAATAGGAATGCAACTGTTGCTATTCCTAAATTAACGACATAGCTCATCTAATTTTAATGCAACAATTTAAAAAAACAAAACGCAAATTTTACGGATCAATTCAATCAGTATATGATAGAAATTTGTAGAAATTAAGCAAACATTAAATTAAAAAATAAAATTAAAAAATAAAATTAAAAAAAAATTACAAATAATCGGTAGAATGTAGACTGTACTGTAGATATTGTAAAAACATATGCTCTCATAACGAATAAAATATTTCAAATCGATTTTTTAAGGATTTTTTCATGTTTCAAACTTTGATATTGTTCTGGCCGACGGCAAATTGAATCACAACTTTTCATTAAATTTTGAATTTTCATCATGAGTTTCACGGGTTCGAATTGCTAACTTAGCAAAAGTTATTTTTTTCTTTTGAAAATGGTGAGACACACAGAGTGAGAATTCGATTTATATTGATTTTCTACAAGAATTTCATTCCGTGTGTTGGGAAAATGCACAGAGATGTTGAGAGCACCGTACGCTGTAACTGCTGCTCTTTCCTACATTCAGATGCGGCACTTAAAAATGTATATGGAATAAGTGCGCACTTTTCCGGTGTCAATAACAGCTCGAAAGATGCGCGGCCTACTACACGTCCGATGAAAAGTTCAAGTAAACCCTGGTAGAGTAGTTTCCAGTCAAATCATTTTGGACTAAATAATTTTTCTTCGTTTACTTTGATTTGATCTAGTGAGTAACCCGTTGAAAATTATTGTCAGCGATTTAAATTAAATTTCATTGTGACAACTACAATCGATGACACTGTGCCAAATATATCTTGCACATCCTTGAGGCGTGCTTTTCCCGTCATTAACTCATTTCAGAAGTAAAACATGTACTCAAAAACAACGTGAAATGCAGAAAATGCAATAATTAAAAAGACAAGCAAAGTAATTGTACGGCGGCGTTAAAGTACATTTTATTGTTTTAATTGTGAACATCGGCAATCATCGTTGTGACAAGAGCGTATATAATTAAAAAGAAATGACACTACAATTTTGGTTCATCTTTCGTTGGAAACGTTTCAACTATAAATTACCATCGATTTTCCGAATATTCTGTCAGTCAATTGAATTTAATCCGATTGTCGTGTTGATTTCTGTCGTACAACTAACTTTAAAATCCAAAAATCCAATTGATACGAACTATAAAAGCGAAAAAAAGTACAAAATAAAACGTGAATTTAAAATAAAATTAACGAAATGTTCAAGCGTTTATTTTTGTTTGCCACTGTTGTTCTATCTGTGGCATTTGCAGTGGAGCTTCGTCGTGATGATAAGGTATTTTTAGGAAATTTGGTTAAAATTTGAAGAAAAAAAAACAACAACAACAGATTGAATTGAAAAAATATTACAGTGGCCACCGCCAGAAGTCGTTGCCATTGTTCAACCGATGCGAATTACATGCGAGGCAAAAACCGGAGTGACCGATGGTAATTTGAACTAAGTTCATTTCAATGTACAGACATTATTTCTATTTTAAACACCAATTGAATTTCATTTCAACAAATATAGAGGCAATCAGACAATTTAGCGATGGCGAAATACATGAAGATCCAGCATTGAAATGCTATATGGACTGTCTATTTAAGGAGGCCGGGGTTGTTGACGAAAAAGGTGAATTGCATTTGGAAAAAATGGTCACACACATTGAAAAATTGGACGAAGAAATTCAAATGATTGCCATTAACATGGGGAGAAAATGCTTGAAACCACAGGGTGAAAACCAATGTGAGCGCGCCTTCTGGTACCACAAGTGCTGGAAGACGGCAGATCCAAAAGTAATAACTGATATCTTTGATATTAAACAAAACATATCTGATTGGAAGCATTTTTTTATATTTTCGACATGTTTTTGTTTCTTACAGCATTACTTCCTGATTTAAATTTTCTTCATCGTGCAACATCGCGACGGCAATATTGACTTTCAAGTGATTTTCGGTGTGGTGCAATTTTTTCGTGTAAATCACGACTTTTTCATAACAATTTTAATAAATAATTACAGTTTTACAAATTGAACATTTATTTTTGGATTTTTTTTTCGTATTGAATGTTTCCGTACCTTCCCACAGAATTCCTTAAAATAATCGGAATTGCATTTCAACTTTACCGACGGGTTACATTATGAGCAAGTATCTTAAAAGCTTGTACCATGAGTACAGATGCAAATTCTAACCTTCTTTCAAATCAAACGGTGGAAATTTCAGAACCTAATAGGTATGATGTCACAAAGATCTATATTCAATTGATAATTTAAAAATGTCTTTTTTTAAATTAAAATCATTTTCATGGAAAAAAATTTAGTACACGCTTCAAAAGCCAATTTCAATTAAGGTTAACAAAATTCTTCTTTCTCCGATGAAAATAGCAACCAAATTATGGGATTTGTTAATTTTCTACAATTAAAACACATATTTTTACATTTATATTTTTATTTCACTCCAGCCATAAAATAGACAATTGCATTTGAAACGAGAAATTTTTTATTATTGTGACTTATATTCAAAAATATACCAATTTTAATTGTAGTTCATTCAAATCCTTGTGAAGCATGATATCGAGATTGTGTTTATTTAATAGCACCTCCTCTTCTCATTACTGCACGAAGCCACCGATTTTGCGTCTTTATTTTGGCGATCAATCTAAAATAAATCAAAACACATTAGATACTTTTCAAATGGTGAACAATGTGGATACATTTACAGGTTCGTTTATTGGTTTGGCGATTGTCAAAAGAATGCTCAAAAGTAAAAATTGACACAAACGTTTCAACACGTTCATGGCGATCAACTTTGTATCACTGTACTTTTGAAATTTGAAATAGAATTTGTTCTGAATATATGAATCGACTATCGATTGCAAACTTCCAAGCTTAAGTGATTGAGGGAAACTCTTTGCAAGTGTTTTTAGTATAAATTTTATAGTATCATCGTATATATGTCAGGATATTACACAGCAGAATGACGTTTTCTATAGAATTTTGATTTGTTTTTTGTTGTTTTCATTTGAATGCTATGCCATTATTGTTGAATGATTGCACAAATTTATGACAAAATTTTCTTATATTGTAATTTAAATGCATACTTGGCTAAAATTATGGTATTACGCAGAATGAAAATAAATTGAAATTCATTTTGCTTTCGAATTTTGACGTTAGTAATAAAGTAATTATCTAGCGTGTAATCTAAGAAAAATGAAAAAGTGTTTTTTTTTTTGTCAGAATCAATTTTCAGAATTTGGTTCAAGAAACCCTAATAAATCGACAATCCTGAATTTATGTTTCTGACAAAAGCGATGGGTAAAAAAGTCTTCACGAAATAAACGACAATTTTTGCACAGTTTGTAAAACTTAAAAATCAATAATTGCAATAGTTTGTAAAATTGAATTGAGTCGTTAATATCATAAAATTGAAATTTTTTTGATTTTCACCATGAATATTTTGATTCCAATTTTACACATCTTAACACAAGATCACTGCTATTTTCTGTGAATAAAATTGAATGTTGTACGTGTGAACAGTCTGTTAACATTGCATGTCGATTCCCCTTTCTTTCTTCATAAAAAAGATAAGGACCGAATTTGTTTTGCCATAGAACCATGGAATAGGTCTTTCCAATTGCTGTTACTGATTCTGTTTCATTTTCAATTTTTCACCGCTTATGACCCTCATGTTACAGTATCATCTCCCAGTGTAATTATGTCCTATGAAAATATTTCACACTCGAAACTAAACTATTGAATTTTTCAACTAAAACACTTTGATTTGGATGTGATGTTTTGACTTTCTCTCAAGTATACAGTTGACTATATAGCGTTAAGGCTGTTTAGAGACTCTGGTCTATGTGTACCACGAAGAGCATTAGATGGATTGTTACCAATATAAAAATGAACGATAGCAAAACAAGCATGGAACCACAGTGAAAAAGAGTGAGTGCAATAGAGTCAATGTGTTAAATTTCAAACTCAATAAATTATTTATGATTGCAGTGTGAAAAGTGTGTACAGCTAAATCGTTTTCTATATTAAATTCGATTAAGGATTGATGGTAAAATGGTGTTATTTTATGAGTAAAATAGACGTGTCAGCAAAATGCAGCCGAAAACCAAATAAAATATAGATGCGAAAGTGAAAGAGCCTCTGATATATGTATATCTATATATATTCAAGGAACTATAATATCGTTGGCGCTCAATGCTTTCACACACTACACTTGCTCGCATATGCCAATGTTGTAAAAGCCCATACTTTGTTTACAAATTAAAACCATTTTGCCAGCCAATTTTAAAAGGGTTGCATTTGGATCTCATCACACTTTTTACACTCAAACCCAACATATCCACACCTACACTTACACACACAATGGTAAATGATATCACATGATATTTATTATTTAATCTGTTATCGAGTGAGATCAGATTTGACATCGGTACTGAAATTCAATTGGTTATTATTTCGTTGGATGTCAATCCAATGTTTTTACGACATTGACACACATCAATGCAACTCAATTTAAAGTTAAACAATTTCATTAAAAGGTTATGTGTAATCAAAATATTTCACATTGTTCCATTCGAATCGGAAAAAAGTACGAAACGTTTTCAGTGATCTTCTAACGGAAGCCCATTGAATATAATAATTTAAATGTTTATTGTCATGTTTTTTGCTGTCATTGTTTTTATTATTATGCTGAATAATGATGAGTTTGCTTTAATAGCCGCATGTTCTAGGCACAATTGTGTAATACTATAGTTGATTAATCTCATGCAATATATAAAGGTTTTTGTTTTAAAAATCGTATATCGAGCTTATCCAAAATGATTTCACTTGAGGGATGAATGAAAAATCCTAACATAGAAATAACAACCAAACAAAAATTAAGAAACAACAAAATCATTTATTAAAAACATTTATGCAACATGAACAGAATAGCCCATGCAATTGCGAATTGTCGAGGGAATTGTTTAAAAATAAATTTTGCCAACTGTTCGTTACTGTGCTTTTACTGTACGCGATGGGCTGTAATATAGCCACTATTCGAACGAACCGACAAGCATAGAACGAAAACCAAAAATTCGTTGTACAAATCAAGAATAATGAAGCTAAGTTACCTTGATTTTACTTTTTAAATGAAAAATGAAACATTTTTTTCTGCATTTCATTAGAATATTCGTAAAAATGTTGCCAACAAATGAGAGAGAGAGAGAGAAAAGCGGAAACATTTATTCTAAAGAAGTAATGAGAATTACGGTTATGTTCTCAGAAATCTTTGGTTGGATGAACATTTGGTGTTATGTGGTCACGTGCATACATGAATTGTTTGAATTGCACTTGCACTTGCATACACACTAAACGAATATCAAATTACAATTTTGTGCCTTTTCTGTGACGGATTCAATGTATTCATAGTATAGTGAGTTTCATCAAATCGCACAGGAGACTAGATCAAATGAAAATGTAATTGTATTTTAATACAATTAAATAATTTTCCGTTGTGTATTTTATCATCGCGCACGTTTCGTGTAGTTAATTCGGTTCTCATGGTTCAGGAAAATGATGTGAATACCCACGGGATCGATTATCCTGTTTATGAAATTCGAATTTTATTTTTGGTTCTTCGGTTGACGAACGATGCTCGCTCGCTAGACCCATTCTATTTAACCAAACATGCGCTCATGCACACTCACATACGTAATAGAGACATCGTTTTGTATCGGCTTATGATCTTTGATAAATCCATTACCAGAGACATGAATTGAAATAAACAGTATTCAAAAAAAGTGAACAACAAGTGCCACCAATCTCCATGTGAAGTGGAATACATACATTTAAATAATTGTTCTCTGATGGTTATTGTGAAGACCGACTTGCAGAGAAATGTTATGTGTTAACTAGCGCCACAAAGGCAGGACAAGCGGAATCTTTTTTTCTTTTTGTTATTGTTTGAATTCATCAAGCGATGAATGTGCAAACGAAAACAAACACGCACACAATATACACGGCTGATGTGACTGAGATTATTGTGCGAAGCATGAAGAAAAGAAAACCAGAATACTATTGCGTTATACCCTGCTTCCGTATACAGTTACCGATGCTCTTTTCATTCGCCGAAAAATACGTCGGCGAGAAGGGGCTATAATTAATTTACGAGAAAGACGAAGGGAATGAATTTTATTTTTCTCGTTCTAGATGAAACACCAGAAGTATCGCTGCCTCAGTTTGATGCCAACTTTTTTTTGATCTGTAATTCAATCGTGTGCACGACCAAATAACGTTTACTTCATGCTCATATTTTGAGGCGTGAGAGATACATCACATGCGACTTTTGGCGCGTCATTATTTCACATTCACTCTTTGGGATTAACCTCGTTCTTTTCAAGATTTTTTTTATTCGTTGCACGACTTTGCAAAAATGTCGTATTTTACACGCTTGACATTAAAAGAGCAAAAGAAAGTTTGTAGAGTGAACGCATCTTTTTTGCATGGATTCAATTTTGTGCACTTCATATTCATGAACAAATAAAAATGTCCACTCTATGTTGTCCATTGATTCGTTATGATATTGGTGAAAGAAAACGTGGTCGTTTTTCAGTTTGAAATTAACAATTGCAACTAAATTTCATCATAAATACCATGTTGTGTTGATTTTGTTTTAATATAACCAATTGATAGACAAAAAAAATGTTGCATTGCATGAGAAAACGGAAGAGATAGAGACTAAAAACCACCATCCAATTTTGTATGCGGAACCACACACGGTCAATAAATGTGTTGTTTATTTAGATTGATACTGACCATTGATCGGTATTCGAACTCTGTCAAAATAGGCAAAATTATTCAATAAAGCAAATGGCCATTAGCAAACAAACGGTGTGTAATCAAAATGATACCTTCTAATTATATCGGCTCATTTAGTCGGTTCAAATTAAAGATTAAATGAGCCAAATACAAACAAAAGCAACCATAATTCTTGTTTCAATATATTGATCGAAACCATTTTAGCAGGTAAACCATTTTTCGGCTAGGTTTTTGGTCTTTAATCATTTCGCCCCAGAGAAGATATACACACAAATCATTATCAAATACCGACAAACAAATTGCATCATTTGAGGCTCGTATGCGACGATATATATATTTGTGTGTTGATCAAGACTGGCCTTTGTTCGGTTATTTTCATTTTCCATTTTTTTTTTAAATATTTCCGGCGCATAAGTCAAATACACTGCCTGCTGTATACATTTGCTCGTCTGATAAAACCGGCTTTGCCATACAGCATCAGTGGTGGGCAAAAAGTGTGGCGGCTTCGAAAATAAAACTAACAATACATAAATGACGATAATTTCTATCATTCGATCACATGGTCTTTCATCAATCGGTTTTTGGTTTCCAATTATTTATCCGATGCCATTGAAAATGCATTGACTTAAACAAGAAAATTTAATGCAGATTTTTATGGTATATTAAAATGTAAGTGAGTTTTTAAATTCACTGTCGATTTCGATGACTGATGGAGTATTGATATATAGAACTGTTGAAAAGAACATCAATCATTTTCAAAACGGGATGATTATCAGCTATTGATTGATTTTTAAGAACAAACTGTATGAATACAAGATGAAAAATTCGAAGCGTATCACTTATTTGCAGCATGTCATTTTGAAGTCAATGACAAAAAGACGGTTTCTGGAACTAGTTAAAATAGAAAACTAAAATACTACTATGCGGGACAACAACCTTTGCACATACTTTTATTATCGTTTTAAGACTTACTAAACAAGTTGCATCGATTCACCAATTTTGTTAAGATAGTTTCCATTTTTGAGAAACTTTCACCATATGGTATAAATAGCACGTCAAAAATAAGTCAAACATAAGAAACGGAATTAATAAAGAACCAAGGCTGTCATTCGATTTGAAAGTGAAATTAAAATTTCGGCGCGCAAAACATCCGACATTCAAACGAAATTTTTTCCATCAAAATTATGCGATGGTCTGCCATGTGTACAATTCACATATCATGCTGTTCGGAAGGTAGTTGAACAATATAAATCGGCGATGACGCCGATTAACTTAATCATTGTAAATCCCAAGTGCTTAAAAATTTAATCAATAAAATTGTTGTCACACTGCGCCGAAACAAAAAAAGAATTGGTAATTTTTTCCGCCGCCATGCAATTAATTGGTATACAGCAAATGTTCACATCATGTCGATGTTTGACACACGCACACACCACCTCACAAACTGGAAAACTTGAATGTATGGCAGATAGGATTTTGTTTCAATTACGGTCATCATATCGGGATTTTGAATTGCTTGCAAATTGTTTGGCAGGCAAACGGAAAAATTATCTCATTCCAGTAAAAGTTCATACGCACACAGGCATATACACAACACATACACGCGAGCGCGTGTACATTGAATAGTGGTGAACAGTAAAAAAAACCTGCTGCAACTCAGAACATATTGTTAACATTAGGCCATTTAACCTATCACCCCTCTTAACAATTTAATCCGGTACACTAAAAATAGAAACCAAACACACTAAATTGGAAGATGATTCGATATACCCAAACAAATAAAAAAAATGCAGACAAAGAGAGAATAACAAGATAAATAACAATGGATCAATGAACACACAATAGAATTGTTTAAAAAAAAAGTGGAAGTGCAATGAGTAACATTTGACGTGGTATGCGTGTGTGCTTGTGTACGGCACTTCATTCGGCGGTAACAAGTCTATTAAAGTTGCATTAAAGAGGCCGAGAAAAAAAGAGGGGAAAGTGAGAGAGAGAGAGAGAGATACACACACACAAATATAAAAAGATCAATTGTAGAAACTAACCGATGAAAAAATGTCATCCCAACCAAATGCAATTGTTTTGTAAACGGACGCATTTCAATTGAATTGATCCGGTGGCATATGAATAACATAAACGATTATTTTCTCACCCCTCGGATGAAATACGAACGTACCAGCTATTGCCCACTTCATAACGTCTTGCAGTGAAGCAATGAACGGGCACACAGACACACATAATTCTATTAATCATTGCTGGGATAGATAAATTGAATGAAATTTTGTTTCTTTTGCACTTATGCAGTTATTATTTATTAATACCAAACATATTCTCTTTAAATGGCGATGTAAATGAGTAAAATTCGATGAAAAATAATCATTTTTACGTCAGAAATGGCATTTTCTTTTGAATGGATTATATTTCTTTTAAGGTTCGAATAAAAGGATTCGATGCGTAATTTTCAAAGTGATTTCTGAATTACATCGAATCTGATTAAATATGAAAAATTATTCGGTCCCCTAACTAGATTTTTATCTTTACTTCTCGTCTACATTGATTATCATCCTATATATTTACATCCCTTTGTGCCTTTGTGCACTTGCTTATGATTTTTACCATTTCCATTGTATTATGGGAACATTTTTTCCACTGTGAAGTGATAAAATTTTATGTGTACCTAGCGTATTGGCATCAAATAACAAACAATCACTTCAGAACAAGCAAAAAGAAAGGAATCCTCCCCTCCTATTTACACTGCGACCAAAGGCCTAATAAATATCACATCACACTTGAACAACGTACGCACTAAAACCAGTTCCACATCTTTTATTGCTCATCATTTAGTAGCCTATATTACCTAGAAAAAAATCGAAAATCTTTAGCAAAAAAAAAAAACTAAACACAACCAATATTTTGTATATTGAACATATAGAACGTTAAAAAGTCACTTTAATATGCGTTGATAATGATAATACAGTATTGCATTGATAAATATTCATTATTTTTTGTTAACATTCAATAGAAATTTTTAAATACATTTCAAAACTCACACTCACATTTGCACTTTTTGATAAAAACATTTTCAGTTCTTTGTTCTTCTCATTGGTCAAACAACGATCGGTTCAGGAGACAATGATAATTTAGATGTTCTTTTTGGCATTACGTTTGTATCGATCGTTCGGGTCATAGGCATTTGGTGATGATGATTCAATGATGTACGGAGCAGCTGGCACCAAATCAGATTCATGTTTAATTTGTGGCCGTTGATAAGAGGCAGCTGAATGAAATTGATGCGGATTTGTTGCATAATCATGAGCGATAATATGAACGGTAAGTGGATTGCTATGGGCCAAGATTTCTGATAAAAAAAATTGCCTGCGAATGAAGTCAATTATAGAATGTTTTCTTTTTATTTTTAATTTGATCCTTCATTCACTTACTTGCATATGTCTGGAATCTCTTCAGCTTTGGGTGCATTTGGCGGACCGGATCTCTAAAGTTTCAAATAGAAAACGTTTTCAGTCTTTGAAAAAAAACCGTATTGACAGGAAGTAACGAACAGATCTTCATTTTATCAAAATGTGAATAAATTTTTAAAAAATCAAAGATAGAAACTTTTACTTACTTTACCATTTACCCACCCTGAAAAAAAAAAGACATTTTTACATTTATTCCAAATTTTGTTGATGATGCATGCACTATTTTCCATACGTACCACGTGAATATTGAAATGTTTGAGTCATACAACACGAAATGAGTGCAAATAGCACCATCATAGACAGTGCCAGGGAGGTTTCCCACTTCTTTGCCATATCAATTTTACTGCCAATGTGTATCGTCGACAAACTGAAGCTATTTGAAAAAAAAATCACAAAGAACATGTAAAATTAGAAATTCTTCAAAATCGAATTGCATCGTTTTCATTTTTCGTGAACATTTGACAGGTTTTACGAATCGAAAATACTTTTGCAGCTTTTTATCTATTCATTGCTGCTTCCATCTGTTAACAGTATTGGCACTTACACAATCACTTCTTGTCTTTTTGGTTATTTCTCTGCAGATTTGTGTTGTAATTTAATTTAAATCCGTTTTTAATTTCATAAATATGAAATAATATTTTTTATTCGCTTTTCTTAATGTGATAAATAAAATTCAAGCGTTGATGTTATCTGCTCAATTTCTGCGAGCAAATGATTATGGTGAACGAACAAAATGTTCCTTTTATAGTCATATTTTGTATAGAGGCTTTTTCGTTGAATGATTTTGAATAGAACTGTAATTGGCCAAAGTGGCGAATCAATTTCTTTGATGTGTCAACATTTGGTTGGAAGGAGAACTCTTCGGGCAGATAAGAAATGGAATACATTGATAATTTTTACGTTTTGTGTAGTACATAATTTGCAATTAGTATGGATAATAATGAATTTTAATTAAAATGCTGTTGAATTTTTCTTGAGATATTGATTGTTCGGGATATATCGAATCAGTGCGTCACTTTTCTTGAGAACATTGGAATCTGGTATACAAAGCACGAGCCCCTTTTTAATTAAATTATATCGTATCATATATATTCACGTTAAGTGCCTTTACAGCTGACATGGATTGACATCGTAGTATGCAGACAGTTTTTCAAACCCGTTCTGAGCAAGACAAACAGGAGTTCATATGTGTGAAATTGCGATAAAGATACTCACACAAGAAGGAGTCAAAAGAGAATTCCAATCTTTAATCCACAAATTAACACGTCATTTCATAGTTCATTGTTCTTCAATAAAGACAATGCTTATTAAAAAGTTTTTTTTTGTTTTTTTTTTTTGTTTTTTAAATAAAATAATCGTAATTCTTTCGGTCAAATCATATTTGTTTTTATTGACAGTAATTTATGATGATTCATTTCGAAATATATTTAAATCAAAATTAGCCATGGTGATGATGGTGACCATACCCACCTCCGTGTGGATACCCACCTCCGCCATATCCGCCTATGAAGAAAAATAATAATATTTGGATGATTTGTAAAATGTGTTAAACTCTTTAAAAAAAACTTATTTCACGAAGATAATTTTTTCAATTTGGACAATTACCATAGCCGCCGTGCGAATGTTGATGCCCACCTCCCCACGATCCACCTGTCGTTAAGTAAACAAATAATTACAGTACAGCCCAAAAGTTTGAGTAACATTCCATATTAAAGAGAAAAATTATCTTTTCAATAATGATGCATATATCGCTTTCAGACCTTCGAAATCACAAGAATATTCAAAAGTTTGTTTAAAAAATACCGGACAGTTTTTTATGAAAAATTTGTTACTCTTGCAGCATTTGTCTTTGTGCTCAGTATTTTTTAGTCTGATCTGAATGAATAATATAGTATGTTTACCGTTTTTCTAGGTAAATTTGAAGAAGTTTTCAATTTTATCAGGAAGGAATAACATTTCGAAAATGGCAAGTATCAAAAGGCGATTTTTGCATATTTATGCACATTAATATCGATTTTCTTCAAAATGTAATGAATTTCCAACAAAAATTGAAGAAATCAAAACTTTCAAAACTCAAAAACTTCATACCGTAACCACCTGAAAAATATAACATTAAATTAAAATACATTTTTATAGATTAGCATTAAATTAAATTTTCATTTTTCATACCATATCCACCGAAGGAACCGGGATAGTATACTCCTCCATAGCCTCCTGCAATGATAACAAACATTTTATTTTCCGAAAACTAATTCAAAAGTTACATTTGTCTATACTCATTCTATGACAAAATGATATTCGTTTATTTAATGCTATGAATTCACAGCTGTCTTTGTATTTTCCATAACGATTGATTAATTATTATTTATTAATTAAGTTAAAATAATTTTAAAACAACGCACCAAATCCACCGAAATCAAAACCATAACCTGAAATAAAATGCCCACACATTGAATGAAAGTGTTCACCATGAATTGCCACCCAAAAAAAAAAACAATCAAAAACATTACCTCCAAATTGTCTTCCGTTCGTTTCGTCTGTCTTAAGATCTTCACCAGTAGCAATGGCAGCAGCCTCATCAACAGCAGCAGCAGCTGGCACTGGTTTCTCTTCTACTTTTTCAACCGGAACCGTTGCTGCAAGGCATACACCCACAACAATCGACATTATCAGAATTTTCTGCAACCAAAAAGAAAATGATCGAGTCCTGTTTTTTTTTGGAATTTAAAAAATCAATGTTTTCCTAACTTACACTCCACATTTTATAAAAAATAGTTGAACGTTTGAATTGCGAAATAAATAGATTTTGCTTAGCCACAGAAACAGCGTCTTCAAAGCCACAACAAAGAACTACTCATTGAAACATCCAACGATCGTCCTTTTTATATCAAAGTCGATGTCCAAACAAAAAAAAAAGAATTATCGTGCATGTTTGTGTCCATATCTTGGGTTAAGAAAGTGCATTAGCCGCGTGCGCTGACTTCTTAAGCCGCACGTACATCGCAAATAGTGCAGAACTAGTTTTTCGTAATTTATGCGAATTGTGAAACAAGTTTAGAATTTCAAATGATAAGAAAAATCACAATTGAGGATGCAACAAATGCATAGTTCAACGAAAGTAAACGAATGCAGAGAAATAATGTGCACATACGTTGGCTAAAAATTCCCCAGTTTTTTTTTTTCTGTCGCTCATGCACCATCTAGAAAACTTGTTTCTTCAGTGTAAGGAATACCCAAAACTCATGAATGCCGTTTAATTATTGTAATACATATCATTAATTTCAGATTAGTCATTGGTAAATCCAGAATGCGTTTTATTTGCATACAAATTGGTGAAGATGAATTGATTACATAAAATATATTCAACTATTTATCGAAATAGATTCTGCTTGTCATGTATTTATTCCTTTGAAAGAATATAAATTCAATTCGATCGATAAAACTTACAGTCATTTATCTCTTAGAAAATGATTTTTATTGCAATAAACAATAATATTCATATTTTCCAATTTACAATAAAAAAAATTCACATTTTTTGTGCTTAAATGCATCTAGACCTTGACAAAATGAAGAAAAAGAACATTCTCCGCATTCCATGATAATTATCATCATTTTCAAAATAATAAAAATTCTATTGGAAAATTGATAAAATCACATTTTTTATTTTAAAATATTGATAAAATTAATTGAAAATATAAATAAAGTTCGAATGCCTAGGCGAAATATTAAATGCATTGGTACAGTCAAAATGTTGATAATATCGACTGCATTGTCGATTTACTGTTAATTTGTCGGCAACTATGATAACATCATGTGAATGGTTAATGACTGTAAGCCAATTGACATGAATGTTTGACATAGCAGAGGGCGCACCGATAACGTCGAGAGCGTACACACATTTACAGTGAAAGAGTGACCAAAAAATATGTAAGATTTATAGAGCACAAGGGAAAAACATTTTGTCGATATTGAGTTGTGATTCGGATTTTTGTGTAAAAAAAAATTCAAACGGTGTAAAAAGAAAAAGAAATGAATAAAAGATGAATTATCACATTTAATTCGTTGTGTTGACATTCGGATTATTGTTATATTTTTGTTTAACTCCATCATAACAAACTAAAAATCGTAATCGATTGCCGAATGATATACATTTGATATTTGTGCGAGTTCTTGACATTTTTTTTGTGTTATTTTTCGTTGCTTTACAATTTTATGTTAAATTTCTTTACGTTGAATACGCTTTAATTGCGTTTGTGTGTGCCGGCAACACAAAATAAAGAGCGAACAGCACCTAAAAAAATATACACGCCGAGAGAAAAGTGATATTGAGAAAAGAGTTAAGTACGCGAAGGGGGCCACGAAAAAGGCAGTGAATTTCAGTTTTCGAGGCATTTGTCGAAAGTAAGTGTGCTTCGAAATATTGTTGATATATGATGTTGGAACGCAGAACAATCAAAGTGCATTGTGCATATTGAAAGCGTACATTCTCTGATGATTGTTACGTTGTTGTCGTCGTTGTCGTCGTCGTAGTCATCGTTGATGTTTCTCTCTCTCTCTCTCTCCCTCTTACTCTTCGTTTTATTTATTTCATTTGCGGTATTGCGTTCCTTGTGGTATAATTTTAATCGTTTCTGTTTAATTTAGTTGAGCACGTCGTATGTTCAAAGTTATGCTATCGCAGCATTTATTGCTTAATTTTTGTTTCTTAGTTGCGCTGTTTCGATTTGTCGAGTGTATGTTTTTTTTGACTAGATTGTTCCGTGCGCGCCCACCGAACTGTTTATTCACAAATGAGCTTCGGTTTGCATTCGAATCGCTTGCATTCATTGTATACTGAGAAAAAAAAGAAATATTATTGAAACAAATCAACGAAATCAAAAAAGAAAACTGAACCAAACGAGAAAGAGAAAAAAAAATGCTTCCAACAGCAAAGTCTCACTGTTGAGCGATAGATTAGTATGACGTGAGTGTATGTGTTGATTTGGATTTGGTTACCTAGAAATTGACTTGTTCTGATAAATCTGAGTGTTCAAAAATAAATGTAAAACAAATGAAAAAAAAAAACATATTACTGACGCTCAAATTTCAATATTTCCAATTGGAATCTTTTCGCTCAAATCATAATCGAATTGAAAACGAAATAAAGCAAAACAAAGAGAAAACGAGAGTCAGAAAATTAGCCTTCGATTTGCGTATAGTTTATTTCAATATATACATATATATATATTTTTTCATCATCTATATATAAAATTGAAAGAAAAATTACTCATGTTTTATAGACTGTGTGTTTCTCTGTCAAACACGGATATGCTGCATCGAACGATAAGCACACAAATGTGTGTGCATTTTGCCATTCGGGAGTCTAACCTACATTTTAACACAAATGTGTTGTAATAATTTGAAGTCGTCAATGTATCCACTGAAAACGGAAAGCTATTGATTGCAAAGACATTTTATGAAAAATTAAGACTTTTTTTAAAAGTTTCAGCCACTGAATCCGTGTGCTTGCTTAACGCGCACGCCGACCAATTCAATACTCTTCTTTTTCGCTCTCTCAAATATGTTATGGTATTGTGTGCCGAATGCCGTACACCAACGAATCATTCAATCTAATAATGTGTGCATATGTGTTTTAATATTATATATCGCGTGTACCGACGCTCAAAAAATAATTCTTTGTATGCCGCAGTATATTTATGAATCGTTTGACATACTATTAATTGTACTCGGCGTATTAACCGATATTGTATGTGTGGAAGTGTGTGTATTTGTGTGTGTGTGTGTGAGTGTGTGGCATATGTGTCTGTATAGAATGAATAATCGTGTACGAATCCATCATTTGACGAGTAGTTGACTCTTATTTTATTTATCTTATATTATATCTTATGAGTTTCAAACATCGTGATTTTACTATTAAATAATATTCTATTTGTGTTTTTTTTTTTCATCTCTTCTCCGTCCATGTGCGTTTACATTATTTAGCTTTCTGATTCGGAAGTGATCGACTAAACTTTTCATAAGACAACTCTAACATATTGCATCTCTTGAAGTGAGACTACACATTAAAAAATGGATAATGAACCGAATGAAAATGAGTCTGAAGTTGTTGAGTCATGTGAAGATATCAATGAAAATGGATGTGATGATGAACAAACCGAAGACGACGTGAACGAGTCAGAAGACAAGGACGAAACAGAGGATAAGGATGAATTAGAGGATAAAGATGACGATCAAAATCAATCGGAACAATTAAATGTGATCGAAAATAAAACAGACGAAGAGTGTATGTCGCCGAAGCCATCAATAGAGCCATCCGTTGATGATGCACCAAGTGATGAACCCGACCAATTTGCTGTGATTGATTCAGATAATCCATCGGAAAATAGTCCACAAAAAAGTCAAGGTGCCGCTTGTACAATATCATCGCCATCCGAAACGGAACCGGACGAATTAGAAAATGATAAAAGTTGGAATCAATTGAATGAAAGTAGTCCGACGAAGAGTTTATCCGAAGTGGCAATCATATCATCACCATCGGAAGAATCGCAAATTGAGAAAAATTGGGACCAACCGGCAAACGAAAGCCTCTACGATGATGATTCAATGGACGAAGAACCAGAGTCGGATGACGATGAAAATGACTATATTAATCGATCGAGTCCAAAACTGTTATTCCAAAAGCAACGGGAACGTGCACGGGCACGGCCACGAACGGACGATTGTCAAGTATTTGAATTGACCGATGATAATTCGAGCGGTGATGATGGCCAATCCGAAGTTGATGACGACATTGAAGGTGAAGAGGAAGAAGAATCAGGTATAAGCTTACTCTTTTTTTCTTTTTTTTTAATCATGCAATTGCATTTTTGCTCATTTCCATGTTCTTCTTTGTATCTTTAGATTCAAGCTATGTTCAAAATATCGATGACAGTGATGAGGAACCGTATATAGCAGAGCGAAACATTCAAAACGTTCGTCAAATTCAATCATCACATAGTGCCAAGAACGATATTAAACAATCAATCAAATCGTATGACAATGAACGCAGCTTTGATGAAGATGCTAAATTCGAAAAACATTCAGCGATTGGAATCAATAGCAGTAGCAACAATAATCGTAAACGATGTTATCTAAAACAAATGCTTCAAAAGCAGAGTGCCTCAAAACTACAGCGTTATTTGTCTATTAAAAAGAGCATTAAATGGTATGTACAGTTTTTTTACACTTTTCATTTTCGTCAATCGATTCGATTGAAATGCCGAAAATTAACGGACAAATTGAATGAATCATTTGCAAGGCATTTCTCCATTCCGTAGACATTTTATGCAAGAATTCAGTTTTATTTCAACGCACATGAATCTTGTATTGTTTTGTGTTGAAATTACCGAATTAACAACAACAAAAACAACAAAAAATGCATAAAAACTTGTGGCTATTTGAATGGATGGCTGATTTTTCGAATGCACTTAAAATGGTTCCCATTGTAAATGTTCTCTTTCTATTTTCTACAACGATTACGCCAAACTGTAGATGTTTGTAATAATGAATTCGACCTTATTTTTAGAACAGACCGTTGTAATTACTTTATCATTTCCATTTTTCAGTTGTTTATGTATGTGTGTCATTTTTCTCGGTGTTTGATAGGCTAAATTTGTTTGTATGTGGGGCGCATGTACGTGTGCATGTGCATCAAATGATTTTCTAACAACATGTGAACTATATAATTAATATATAAAAAAAGATTTGATATTTTTATTTGCTGTTGTCATTTGCATGCGAAATGCAATAGTCCCAACAGCAAAAATACAAAAAATAATAATCAAAAGCAGCCGGAACAAACGAAAAAAATTATTGTACATAAAAAGCCTAGGGGGTAGACATGATTCATTTGATTCACTGTGATTCAAAAGATTCACATTGTTTAGATGACATTTGAAATGTCATTTATGTGTCATACAAGAAATATTTATTGAACAATTAAAATTATTTGTCTTCGAAAAAATGATTTCTTGACGTTTTTTTTTTAAATGTATTAACTCATTATTTTTTTTATCTATTTCGTGTTTTTCTAGTAAATTCCAAATAAAATCAACGATAATATTTAGAATTTAATGAACGATCATGTTAGTAAAACCAAAAATAATGCTTATTTGACATTTGAATGATTCATTTGATTCACTGTGATTCACATGACTCAAAGTTTTATAATTCGTGTCTACCCCCTAGTAAAAAGCAAACGAAAATCTTCACACGTCGAAGATGAAGCGACGAATTACACTCAAGTGCAGTTCATTCAATTCAAAACTTTGTTTTGCAAACAAAAGAAACCCAGCGCAAAAGTGAGCGCGCACTGCAGACAACAGATACGATACGTTCGTTCGATCGTGTTTTTTCCTTGCTTTCGACGCGAACTCAGAAAAGAACTATAATTTTTCGTACAAGTTGCATATTGAGAGAGCAACAAAAACAAAAAGAAAAAGAAGAAAACTTAAATCAAATAGAGGATTATGAGTCAAGGTTTTTTGTATTTGCGTTCAATGTGTTTAATATACCGAGGTCAGCCTCACACAGTGAGCTTATACGGCACCACACAACACGAGCATACCAACCAAAACGTACTCGCACACTCAAAAATATTGTTGAATTCATATAGATTTTCTATACATGAAGTACTAAATGAAAATGAAAATGTGAAATATACAAAAAAAAAAAAAATCACACAGAAGAATTAAGTACACAAAGCACATGAGTCGGGAGAAAAAAAAATATATATATGGAAAGAATAAGCTCGATAAATGGCATGGCAATCGGTTCGGACGGTCGGATGGGCGGGCGGTATGAGTGAGCATTCCTTAATGGCTATTATCATTTGATTTGATAGTTCTAAACAAACGATATAACAAGCAATGTACTTCGATATTCGTGCATAGTTTACACGCATTTACGATACACATTGTCTCCTCCGATTTCAATTGGCCGTTGATATATTTCACAATGTTTATTTTTCACTGTGTGTTGCACCATTGCAATATTTTACCACGGCTGCTTACATGACAATCCAATGCTAGATCCAATGCACAATAGTTCCCCCGTTTTCTGAAGCAACGAGCAACAACAAATAACAAGAACAACCAAAGAGCGCATGAGACATGTTGTTTGTAATGCAATCGCCAAGTAAGTTATCAATTAACCATCGTGCTATTGAAGTGCAGTCGTTATTGCTGGTGCTGTTGCCGTCATCGTCGTTGTTGTCATTGTCATAACTTTTAGTTGCCGAGACTACAGTGTTCATGATTAGTTGAATATTGCCGATGATAATCAGTGCCGATGATAATACAATGGAGCATCTTCTCACTAGTTGATCTCATTCCTTCTGTATTAATGCAAAGAAACTCGATGAAATATTTCATACAATGCGAATTAGTATCACGTTTCGCAATGGCTTTAAATTTTTCTTCTTTTGATTGAATGCGCACAAAATGGTCTTTAATTCAAATTAGTTATCACGAGAAAAAAAATAGAGATGATCCATAAAGTGCACGCTCCTAATTCAATATCGAAAACACAATTTACCATACGAACGGATGCTGTAGCAAGTTACCTGTGCACATCTACACTGTATTTACGTATGATCATTGATCACAATCACTGACCATAAAAATCAAACGATTTACGACGATGTGATGTGGCCACCATGAAAATGATGATTATAGTTGCATGCTCTCAATGACACTTAGTTGCATTTTCGCAAAATGAAAAAGAAAACGAAACAAAAACAAAGCACAACAACAACAACAAAACGATGGGGAAAAAGTGACGAGCAAACGAGATGAAAAAAAATCAAGTAAAGCGAAAGTCATGCGAGATTATTCATCGATAGAGTGTGTATTTTATGTGTGATACTTGTGGACGTATACTCTGCTATTTGGCATTGACACAACACACAATCTCAATGTGATTGTTGCGAAAGCAGAAGCTCAATTGCACATTTTGTTAACGGCACGGCGCACCAGTGGCCACTTTTTGTGTGTGGTTGCAGACACAAAAAAAATACAAATCAAGTATTTGTTCAGCTTGTCTTTTGCCACTTAAACGGACATCAAAAACCAATATGCCAATGTGAATAAATGTTGATTCCATTTCGATCATTTTCATAGGCAAATCGGATTTAGAACACAACAGCGTACGCCAAACCCAAAGGAGGATTCATGATTTTAATCGCATTTTTAATCGCGCAATGAATGGCACATAAAGTAATCCGCGCGCGCACTCTTTCTCTCTCTCTCTTTATATTTTTCTCTCGCTTTTTTGTGTTATACTTAAGTGTTTTGTGCGCTTGTATTAGACGCAATTGTGTGCCTGTGTGTTAACAGTTGTATATCGAAGTATGTTGCTGTATTGTGGATTGCTATTCACATCTATGTTATTCTTCAAATGACCTTGAAAATACACAGTGCACGTTGAGCACACTTTTCCATTTCGATACGATTTAATTGTTTTGAACATTAATGTCAGTAGTTTCAAATCGAATGCATTTTTATTTCGAATAAACAATTGTAAGTGACAGCAGTATGATGAAATTGTAGGTTTCATCCACGTTTCTTAGTATTAGTGCAGACACACACACACACACACACGCACACACCTATTTTCTCTCTCTCTATTTTA